ATTAGGTACATAATCATAGATCAAGCTCGGTGTGGATTGCGATGTCATGTAATAAAGGTGACCTGGAGTGGCACATGTGTCACAACATGCTGCAGAACCCAATTCCATGCCTTCGTACCGTCATGCTCGTTTAATACGAACGTTTGTAGATTGGAATACAGAAACAACATGAAAAGACCGAGAAATATTTAATTCTTCCGTTCGTTAGTAATGTACTTCGTTATGCGTTTTTCTGTTCTCTGGGAGCGTATCACGAGAGTTGTGTAGCATGAATGAACATAAATTGCTGTTTCTATTTCACCAAAGTCGTTGAACGGTGTACTCTATAAACGCATTATCTACAATAAACTTTGTGCCAGCACAATGCATGAAATGCTCAATTACATCGCAAAAAAAAACGCGGATTTCACCAAAAGAAACTCGTAAACCTCATTAGATATTCAAACGTCAAATTTAGAAATATCACTGCCATGAACGAGATTAACTCCTTGGCCAAATTTCACTGCAAAAAGCGCTTGAATAACTGCACCTTGCAGGTATGCAATATACATTGCATGAGGTTTTAGAAGTGTGGTGACATTATTAGTTAAGGTTACATTGTTTTAGCGTTGAATTAGCTTTTTAGTCACGTTTACTGTGCTTTTAAAGTTAATATTTCACCTCATCGGTAATTTAGTGACGTCATTTCATTTCCACAACTTTAAATGAGAGTTATGAATAGTTGGTATCCAAGCATTTTTTTAAAGATATGTGACTGGTGTTTATCAAAGGACCAACCCTAGAACGAGTGCCGGGGAGGGGAGGGGGAGATATGAACAGTTTATAATTTGAAAAATAGTTTATAATTTGAATGAAATTCAGGATTAAAATTCCTGAATTTCAACTAATTCAGTAACCTGTGGCGGAAGAGCCTTTTGAATTTTCAGTTTCGGTTTCTGCGCCGCCGACGCCGCCGCCGCCGACGAAAATTGGCCGCACGCCGCCGCCGATGAAAAAACCGGCGTGCGCCGACAACGCCGCCGCCGCCGACTCTGGACGACCCCCACGCCGCCGCTGATCAAAATCGCCTCGGCGCACACCTCTACATACAGGGGACGGTACCGCCATCTAGTGAACACTGCAAGAACTAAACTAGAGGTAACTACATACAGGCTACAGGGGACGCACAGCCCACGCCCTAAGGAGCTTCGCCCCTAAAACTTCATCTATAGTTTAACTGCGACTGCTTGGACACAGCCTCCTAGATTTCCCTTGACAGCCGGATTATCGGTGGTCACTTGAGAAGCGGCCGTCGTCGGAACTACGTTGGTGGCGTCACTTATGTAGGGTCGTCTTCAAATAAATTTTTACATTTCAGGAGCTTGTATGCAACAAAAATAACTTTAAGATTTTTAAAACGGCGTAAACTTAATTGTAATTAATTATAATTATTCCTACGTAAGCGGCACTGCCATAGATCACGGGCGTTTCGCGCTCATTCAACAGGCAACCCCTTCAATACAAGGCATAGCCTTTAAAATTAGCAAACGCTTAAGTTGCCAATCTTAAAGGCCAAGTACAAAGACCTTTAACCCTACGTAGGTAGCGCCAACATATATATAAGTGTTTCGCGCTCATTCGGCAGGCAAGAAAAATAGAGGAGGCTATGGGTTGGAAAACGAATTATGCCTAGAACGTGAGACCAAGGAGGATTTAAAGAATTGCTGGAGTGGAAATGATTGCGCAGAAGTGAAGCCGTTCCTCTGGCAAGATGGCGGTTGTAGCGGCCATCTTACTAGGGGCATAATAAAGTATCGCCGTTCAGCGATTAAAAACGAAACGTTTTTCTCGCATGCCCAACGAGTTTAATGTGGGAACTTTTTCGGGCCACGTAGTGCTCCAAGTGCGTCTTAAAGTGACTAGTTTTCTGTAGTGAGCCTCTAATTGGAGGCAAAGTTCTTTGAAGATTCAGGGCCAAACAACGAAACGTTCCTTTCCTCAGTGAGGAAGCCTTCATTTTTGTGAGGCCGCCTTATGTCACTCTGAAAGCTTCCTCACTGAGGAGCCCTCGGTAAAGGCCTTGGCGCTTCCTCAGCTTAAGGTTGCTTTGAGGCTACCTTCGTGCGCCCTTAGGTCCGCTCCTTGCCCTGAACGAGCGCTTCGCCTCACAGCTAGCCCACGTGATGTTTTCGTTTTCGAGGCAACCCTCTCACCCCACCTCTGCGGGGAGACACGAGCGGCGAGCGTGCGTGCACGGTGCCAGGCACGACGGCGCGCAGTGTTGCTAGAATGCACCACGTTTTGCGCTCGACTACGGTGGCTTTTCACATTCAGTAACCGTAGTTGGAAGAAAGCGTACACGCGTCTCTATATTAACACTTCAATTTGGAAGTGACGTGGTGACCCAACTTTTTTTACAGAATAAATGCTTGTGAGCAAAGATTATATTCGATAATCTCGAACGCAGGAGCGCGGCAACCATTCCTCCCGTGAGGACGGGTTGAGGGAGCTTTCAGAGTACGCTTGCTCCCTCCGTCGGTACTTGGTTGTAAGGAAGCCTCACGTAAGGAGAGGACGCGGTCAAAGGAAAGGAACGTTTTGTTGTTTGGGCCTCAGTCATCTATACTTGCTTCCGTGTGTTATTTCGTCGGGAACAACTATCCTTAAGTAGAGAACTAACGTAGCATTTACATAACGTATCAAAGCCACTTGATTTTTAAGTGGGCATTATCAAAAAAGAGCGTGTTTCCGCGATCTTGGCAGTGGCAAAAGGTGGCTTCACTTCTGCTGGCAAGGCATTGCAGAAGCTTCCACTCCAGCAATTTTTCTTTAAGGGCCAAACCTCATAAGCGCGAAAACGCACGCGACAGCGACGAGCGACGCTATGAGCGACGAAACAGGGCGTTCGCGCCACGTGTCGCGTGCTCGTTTTCGCGCGATCGCTCGGTTCTCCAGATTTGGAAACCGTCGCTCATCGCCCGGAAGTGCTGGGCTCAAGCAGCCAATAGCGAAATACCGGAAAAGACGAAGACTACATAGGTGCACGTGACCCTGCCCGAGTCACGTATGCGCGACAAGAAATAACGCAATGTTTATTACGCATGTGCAGATAAAAAGTGCTGCAAGGCAATAATAAACACTTTCCGTTTCATTACACTAGAATATATCTTATTTTTAAATTGCATACCGCTCGCTACGCGGTTTTCTTGGTGCGAGTAGACGGCCTCATGCCAGCAACAGTGGAGTTCGCTCGCCGAAGCCCGGAAGCCGTCGCGTGAATGAGGTTTGCCTGTGCAAGCGCCTGATCGCGCGAAGCCGATCTACGTCGCGTCGCTTGTCGCTGTCGCGTGCATTTTCGCGCTTATGAGGTTTGGCCTTAATTCTCCTTGCGTGAGACGCGAACGCGCCGCCCTACCCTCGGGTTTTATCCTCCCCCTCCGGCACGGATGCGAACGCCTGTGGCGGTCGCCCTCTGCGAACCTTAACAAGGCACCCTAAAATGGTCTCACAGTCATAGCCTCCTAGATTTGCTTTGCCTGCCGGATTATCAGTGGTCACGTAAAAAGCGGCCATCGTCGGAACTATGATGGTGGCGTCATCTAAGTAGGGGATAGCTTCAAATAATTTTTTACGTTTTTGGAGCTTAAATGCAAGCGTAAAAGTAATTATAATTATCCCTACGTTAGTGATGCGGTCATTCTACAGGCAAATTTTTAAATACAAGTCATCCTCTGAAATTAGTAGCAAATGCCAAAATTGCTGATCTCAAAGGCACATAAACTCTTATCTTTACGTAGGCAGCGCCGCCATAGATGACCGGCGTTTCGTATTATCCGGCAGGCAAAGGAAATCTAGGAGGCTATGTCACAGTTGCCTCCAATCAGCCGTGATGTCACGTAACAAAACGGTACGGTAATGCCACGTGACAAAGTGGTACGAAGGCGAGCGTTCTCAAGCGGCGGACGGTCACAACACGCGGTAGAAGGCATGGCCACAGACAACGCCTCCTAGATTTCTTGTGCCTGCCAAATGAACACGAAACGCCGGTCATCTATGGCAGCGCTGCCTACGTAAGAAAAAAGGTCTTTGGACTTAGCCTTTGAGATTGGCAATTTTGGCGTTTGCTACTAATTTCAAAAGATGCTTTAAAATTAAAAAAGTTGCTTGCTGAATGACGGTGTCACTTACGTAGGGCTTATTTAATTTATGTTTACGTTTTTTTTAAACTTTCTACGCTATTTTTTTTTTTTTTTTTGCGTATAAGCTCAAAAACGTGATAACCTACTTGAAGACATCCCTACTTGAGTGGCGTCACTATCGTAGTTCCGACCATAGAGTTTCCCAATATACACTAGAGGGAACTCTGGCGCTAGTGTCTATGGGAGCTGCAACACACGGCGCTTCAGCGAGCATGGGACTGATGGCAGTGATGGGATAGTATTTTTCCTTCCTCCGTGGTAGTAGTACACACATTTGTCTAAGCTTCGTACTTCTGGCCTGCTTTTGGCTCCGTGTGCGTTCGTGTGGCTTGAAGCTATTTTTTCACGAAACAAAAATCAGCGAATGTTCAGCGGTTGCGCTTCACCATTTTATTTTTTTATACTTATTTTCCAAATCGGCTTACGAAGTTCAAAGGGGGTTGTTCTTTCTATCAAAACAAAACCGTAACCAGCCATAAACAAAGCCGCAAGTACGATTCGCCGCCCGCAAGTACGAAGTCTAGGCAAATGTGTGTACTACCCACACTCCGTGATCATTCCCATGGTTGCTGAATGATCGCAGCGCCAGAGTGCCCTTTAGTTGATTTTGAGAAACTCTATGGTTCCGACGACCGCTGCTTCCCAAGTGACCGCCGATAATCCGGCAGGCACAGGAAATTTAGGAGGCGTTGCCTTAGAACACCTACGCATGGCCTCCAAGATTTTGTGCTGGCAGCAAGCTCTCAATTGAAGAGAGCTGCCTGGCGCTTTCCAAGCATTGTTTTTCTGTGAGGTGGTGGGAAAACTCATGGAGGAAGGAAATGGAATAGTGAACTATCCATAGGAAATTTTAATTTGGCTACAGGCACTGCGCCGTGCTCCCGATCGGGTTGCATAAATTAGGTGCCTTTTCTCATCTTCTAACCACTACCACCACTTTGGCTAGGATGTACAGCTGACATAAGGTGGCTAGATAGCCGACGCCTGCCACCTGCGCGCACGTTTTAGGTGTTTTGTGCCGCGGCTATTTCGGACAATGTACCGACGGTACTGATATAGTTTAAGCTTGCCCCGAGCTCCATTCTTGCGTATCCCAAGCGTAAGCGCAGCCATGGCTGCAGCCGGTAGCACTCGTACAGTATTCGGCTACGGTACCGACCTTGACTGGCGGTCCACGACGTTCGTGAGTCCGCTACCGTCGTCAAGAGTGTGCAGCGTTTGCGGACTGGTGCCACAAACAATTACCGCTTTGCCCTGCAGTCACCACATCTGTCGGCAATGCTTCGACAGTGTTATCAGCGGGATGAAGCGTTGTCCGATCGACGGAGAAACCCTTGAGAGTACTGACGATGTAACGTGGTCGACGCACAGCAGGGACAGTGTCCTAGAACTCAGGGTGCGTTGCTGGAACGCCACTAACGGTTGCGTAGCCGAAGACACCGCATCTGCCATGCTGGATCACTTCGCGAGTGCGTGCCGATTTCACAGCGTGAAGTGTCCCACGTGCGGCGCCAGCGTGCTGCACCGGGACATTTCGGACCACGTCTCATCGGGCTGCTGCTTTCCGACGTCCGACGACTTGGATCGGTCAGCGAACGAAAACTCGGCTAACGCGCTCATGGAGGTCAGAGACCTGCTGAGCAACCTGTCGCGGGACAATGCTTCGCTACAGACGAGACTCAACACGTTCGAACAGCGCCTGTCGGCGAAATTGGATCGCACCGTGACGTCAGTCACCGAGCAGACGGAAGATGCTGTTCGTGCTCAATTCGCTGGCCATCTGAGCAGCGTGACTTCGTCAATCGAGCGTCAGCAGATTCTGAACGATGTAGTGACGAGGCAACTCCTAGCATCTGAGTACCGTAAGAACCTGACTTCGTTGAAAGCCACGATCAAGGATGCCGTTGCCCAAGGGTGTGGACGCGATACCGATACCATTCCCAGCGCTATGGCTGCCGTTGTGACCGAAGAGATTTGCGATTTAGCGAAAGAGCTTTCTACCCAGCCGACACTCACGGGTGAGGGTGCATCCAAAGCCCTCATGCTCTTGGCTGCCACTGTCTTTGGCGACAAAAACAAAGCTCTAGTGCGAAACCCGCCGACACGTATTTGGAAAATAGACGACTGGGATGATTTCACTTACGTGAGTCACGCACGTGGTCGCCAGAGGCGTCAAGATCGTTTCGGCCCTTCGTACTACTTGCAAGGATATCTGGTGGTTCCACGATTGTGCTTTTACCCACGCTCTGGTGCTATCCGGTACAGCCCTTACATAATCGAAGGCCTGTACGACAAGTTTATCACAGCACCTACTAAGGCTTCACTCGTGCGCTTCATTGATCCCTCGGGCTTTTCAACAGACATGAAATTTACCGGTGAATTCAGCTGGGACAAGCCAGATCAAGAGATCATGTACAGGGGTAGCCAAGTGCTCTACTTGGGACATGTGTCGGTTCCCATAAATGTTGTCTCACTGGAAGATGGTGGCTTCATAGCAGATGACACTGCTTGCCTTGAGATATACCATGAATAATGTGTCGCTGAATACAATTTCATTTGAAATCTTCCACAAAGTTCTGTGAATGCAGTCCATGAGAAGGGGCTGATTCAGGATTAATCGTGTATCTATGTCATCATGAACAGATTAACCATTTTGCAATTGTTTTGCATGCTGAGTTCCAGCGCTGCTTTTTTACTCAAAACTCACTTTGAACTTTTCAAGGTCATGATGGTACTTTTAGCAGAGCGATGGATTGGGCTAGTTGGTGGTGGTTCGTGATTTATCGTTAGGCTGCAGTTAACGAAACGAGAAGGAGTCAGGGACTACAGGACAGGTTGTGTGCCAGTTGAGCACCACGTGGCCTTTAGCCCCCGTCTCGTTCTCATCGTCTTCAGCACAGCAAAAAATCATCAATTCTCACAGCAAGATATGTATGGTTTTGCAAACACCATCTACAAAACATCGAAGACAAATATTACCAATGGCTGAGGGTTTGCGCATGGCAGGGAGGGAAATGGCATAAAGGGTGCTAATTCTGTCACATACATTTACTCGTTCAGACCTTTCACATATTTTACAGAGATCGACAACTAGCCAAAATGTGTGATTAGATCTTGGAAATGTGTGATTAGATCTTGGTAGAAATTAAATGACAGTGAAATATAGTGACAGATTTGAGCATCTTTTCCACGTTGTGAGAAAAAATTACATATTTAAATCTTGTTCGAAAGTAACTAAACTATATGTCATGCCCAACAGAAGAGCCTTGATGCTAGAATATGAAGTTGATCACTTTGCTGCACGTTGTCATGCAGTTGATGCTGTCGTGCATGCCATAATTAGTCCTCAAATTTAGGGTGTGTATTTTATTATCCATACTCGCTCTGTTGTGTGCTGTTTACTTGGAGAAAGGAGCTGCATAGTGAGAAATGGCACTGCCTGGGTGGCAGCCAGTGAACCATGTCAGCCACAGTGCATTCTTGTGTCATGCATGCATGCACAAAAAACCACTGTGCTCAAACACGAACTGCTTCCGTGCTCATTGTTTGCAGCAGGTGTCGTCATGTGCATTTATGACTTCATATTCGCCGCAGATAAATTCTAGCTACGACTGTTTCGTTTCATTTTACACATATGTTACATTTCCCTGATTAGACAATCTGACTGATAAACTTTGTGTTGCACTAGAGAAAATAGGTATCCTAAAAATTGCTTCTCGGTCTCTTTAATGCGCATGGTTATGTCTACACGTCTTTTGACAATAATCCTGGCCAAGGACACCTAATGTTGCGTTCAAAGAACTGCTCACTTGCAATCCTTGACCCAGAAAGACTAGGACAAATGGCGGCTTGTTGTAAGAAGCCCTTTTGTCTCTTCATTTTAATCCTTGCATCTATTACAGAGCTTTTTCTTTATTAAGACTTTCTCATAACGGAGAACCTTGCACATGCCAAATCTCTATTGGTAGTCAGGGTCCATCATGTGTTGCTCGCTTCTTCATGCGTAAAGTAGCGCTATTTTAGATGTGGAGAATCCCTTGCTCACTCGCATGTCACGTGTCAGCTGGCATCTGCACTCACATTACGCATGCGCGACTCTCCTCTTTCGCTCTCTCCAACAGCTGCTTGCGCTTGCTTCTGCATTGCACATGCATGTGCCCTACCCTCTCTCACCTCTCCTATACTCCCCCTCTCCTCCCTCGCAATGCCGACGCAGAAAGCGTCTACAAACCTATGCTCGCTCACCCCTCTCCTCTAGGCATTTCTCGCCACCGCAACTCGCAAAGCCGATGCAGGCAGCGTCTGCCTGCAAGTTTCTTGATTGAAAAAGCTGACTGCTTGCGCTGCACAACCACGATGCGGAGCTTAATAGCTTTAGGGAAATGGTGTAATTTTTTTTTCGATGTATTCTGTGTTGGGCAGTAACTAGTTATGTACTAATAACGTGTTACCATTAACTAGTTACCTTCTTCAGTAACTTGTAAATGCAACTAGTTATTTTCAGTTTAGAGTAACTTGTAACTGTAACCCCGTTACTTTTTTACTGAGTAACTGTAACGAAAATTACAGTTGCTTCTGTTTTTGTAAAAAATCATCCAACAGCCACACTCGTTAAAGGCCGACGTTGCACGCTTTCCATTTTTTAAAACTTTCTTTTTTACAATATTCTCTTCACCTTTCCACTTCGACGGCTCCCATTGCAGTTCAAGAGAACAGGTCGCTAAGAGGTATATCTTTCCTGCAGAAGACCGACTTCGGAGTTTACTTGTATACTACATGTCTAAAGGTAAACATACTTGTCAAAGACCTACGTCTGGCTGGTTTGAAGCAAGGTGCGTGTGAAGGGTATATTTATTCGTAAAGCTACATCCCGTAAATCAATAATGTGCCACTGAACACCTTGCCACGTTTACATGCCCCCCCCCCCCCCCCCGCCCTGGCTTTTCGTTTTTTTGGGGGGGGGGGAAGGGGAATTTATATATATTTTTTTGTCATTTGAGCTTCTATCCTTTTTCTTGGTATGCCGGTGGAGCATTCCTCCGTCTGAGGCTTTCAGCAAGTCGCGTTTGACAGGTAGCTAGAAAATAGCAGCATGAAGCATTTAAAACGAGTTTGTAACTGATTGTGAAAGCTTTACCTCAAGTTAACACAACAATTATTTACAAAGTAATTGACGTTCCGCCTCCTATACAGGTGGTATCCTCAGTAGATGCTGGCAAAAAAATAAAAATAAGCGGAGGTCGATCAATTCATTAGTCACACATGTCATTGCAAACGTTTAGTAGTGGGCAGTGGGTTGCTGTTGCAAGCCAGTGTGTCGTAGCGAATGAACCTCGTTTCCAGAAACCATTCTATGAAACCATCTGCATGAGTGGAACTCAAGAGTGAAAGCCAGCATCTGAATCTGATGGTTGAACCTTCATGAAATGTACCTGATACGTATAGTCCAATTTGATTGCCATTCAATTTTCTACAGAACCAATATTCAATGCTTCTGCGTAGTCTAGTTGTTTTTGTTGCTACATATGGAAGTCAATGCCAAAGTATGCTTTGCATTCACTCCTTGATGTACCAGATGCCTTGGTTGTAGAAAACCAATAAAAGTGTTGGAACAAAAAGCTAGCTACATTCACTTCATGAGCACACATATTCATGCAGAACTCTCATATCTGTGCCGTTCACGTAGCCAAAAACTTTATTTGCTGAACTAGCAGAAAGAAAGGAAAGGGGAGGTAGGAAAGATTACAGACTACCAACTGTTCATTGTCAGTTATTGAAGCCAATGTATAGGCATGCCCCACAATGCCATCACAATGTGCAGAAAAGCAACATTCTTTGCATTGCGATGGTGCATTGTAACATTCCTTTGTATTGGCTTCGTTAACTGACAATAAACAGTTGGTAGTTTGTGATCTTTCGTGCCTCCTTTCTTCTTTCCTTTTGCTTGTGCAGCAAATAATATTTGTAGTATGAACCAACTAGACTTCAAAGAAGTCTTAGGGAGTTTTCGAATCGGGGCCCCAAAGCTTCACGGCCCTCTAAAATTGGTGTCAAGGCCACTGCGTATGCGCAACACCCAAACTGCATTTGGGTTTCGGGTTGGCGGTGCTGTTTCTCGAATTTAGTGGGATCCCCGAAGCCTGCCCCAATAGTTTTCGGTCAGACAAACGAAACGGCACCCACTGAAGTGACATGACCAAGAATAGAGCGAATATCGAAAGCGCCGCAGACCTTATTCAGAAACTCTTCGCTCCTGCTTGACCAAAAGTGTCCATATACAAAGAGCTTTGGGGCCCCTATTTGAAAACTTCTGATTGCTGTTACAAAAGAAAAACGAAGGATTGTTTTTTTATGTGTGTTTTATTTGGCTAAGCGTGATGTGTGTTTGATTCAGAGTAATGCGCGCCACATTCAGATGAAAAAGGTAGTACTGCCTGTGCAAAAATTACAACAGAGAGCATGGGGGAGGTGTCACACTGAACTGCTAAACAACATGAGAATTGGGAAGTCGATGCAGACGGGCACTGTAGTCCACAATTCTTTGCGTGAGCCACGATTTTGCTATACATCTATTCCTCCATGTCAAAAAAGCCACACCCTGACGGGCTCCAACGTGTACTATTTGCATCAAATGAAACCCAAAAATGCTTGCCAATGATGATAACTGGACTATACTAAGCAGTGTTGCGGAATGGGCACCTCTATTTTATTTCGATTCCATTCCGAGGATTTAGGGCTTGCCGCAATTCCATTCCTTTTAATTCCTCGGAATGGAAAAACTTAGCTCATTCCCAGGCCTAGAATGGCCAGGCAGTTCAATTCCATTCCTGTAATTTTGCGATGTAGAAAATACATTTTGATACATATTTTTTAGCTTATAATGTACACCCCCATAAAGTTGGTGTCGCGAGATGCATTAAGAACTGAAAAAGTATGCAAATAATGTTATCAAGTCTGAGGGATAGTAGCTCAAAGGCACATGCCATGTAGTAAAACCACCTTACTAATTTCCATAAGAGCAATTCTTCCACTACATATAGTATTTGCATGGTGAGCATGTTTGAGCAATTGTGTTTTAACAATATTTAAGCTTAAATGTGCTAATGTAAAAATTACGACATCACGTATATTTATGCAGGCATAAGTAGCATTCAGGAAGGCTAAGCTGTTTAGTCACACGTATGGAGTGGCCGTGAATGAGGAGAAACCTTAGACCCACCAGGCTGGTCTAGTGGTTAAGGTACTGGGCTGCTAACCCGCAGGTCGTAGGATCAAGTCCCGGCTGTGGCGGCTGCATTTCCGACGGAGGCGGAAATGTTGTGGGCCCGTGTACTCAGATTTGGGTGCACGTTAAAGAACCCCAGGTAGTCGAAATTTCCGGAGCCCTCCACTACGACGTCTCTCATAATCATATGGTAGTTTTGGGGCGTTAAACCCCCACAAATCAATCGAGGAGAAAACTAAGATTTCCTAAAATTTGGTTAATGGGCATGGAACCTTTTAGATCTGATTTTTTTTTTTAGGTATTAGTAGGAACAGTGCACCACCGCTCGTGCACTTTGTGTCTTTGCAACGGATATGGAACATTAAGCCGCACTGCTCGTGAGCACTCACGCTTATCGAGCGGGACTCGCAAGCATGGGTGGGGGGAGGAGAACTTTCTGTGTTCGCCTGTACGCAGCTATGCAATGTCTTCTTTGTCGCAAAAGTTTTTTTTATGTGTGTTACGTACTAAACTGCTTGTGAGATGAATATCAGGCTCGCAGTGTGGGGCATCAATGTGAACCAACTTGCAGGGATAATTCATTTCTCTCTGCAATATCTGTTAGAATAACACACTTCTTTGTAGACCAATTTACAGCCTAAGTTTCTTTTTTAAAAATTGACAGATTTTTCCGACTTTCACACCACACCAACCCTTGGCTTTGGCTAACTAAAGGTGCACCTAGAGGACACGTTGTGGCTTTCGACTTCGATAGAACAAGTACGAGGCCTACATTACTAATTTGAGTGTGATAATACAGCAGTAGTTATTAAGGGATGTAGCAAAATATGTTCGTCCCCAATGTCCTCTTTGCTAGGCAATGCAAGCGCCGATATATGCCGAGTCGTGGGAACCGAGTGAAGTTGCAAAAAATATTTTAAAAATTAACGATAATAATGAAATTATCCCACTCGGAGCAGTAGGAGTGCAGGATGACCAGCTTTCAGGTAATGATCCAGGAATGCCTGATCTCCTGGGCTTGACCTCTCGAATGCCTGATCTTCCGAACACGCTCGGCAATCGGTCACGAGTTCTTTAGTCACCGGGCTTGCATCATAAAAAGTGCTTAAGCGTCCTCGTCATTTTTAAAGGCTGAAATAAAGGTCGCAAGCCGGACAAGATGCTAAAAAGCATTATCTTGGTTTTATTCATCGAAGTTCTGACAGGAAATGTTATTAGCTAAATGGGTGATTCGCCATTTAGTCTTTTAAAGCAGAGTTTTGAATGACGAGTTCTTTGAACGATTGGTTTTAATAAAATTGAGGTAAAACAGTTGCCGTGTGCCTAACTATGCATTGCACTTCACAGACATGAGCTGCCCGAGTGTGGACCACAGAACACAAGAGCCTGTGTGGTAGTGAATTATGGTAGTGCTACTCTAGCCCGCAACAGGAGCGGTGAAGCCAGCTTTCCACCCGGCCCTTCCTCCACCTTAGCACGTAGCTGCCGTGGCCGTGGTTACCTGGACTTCCTTGCTTCGGATATGAACGGAGAGGGAGCGCATATACGGTTCATCGTGTACGACTGTGTGCGGCGCTGACCTACAGACCTTCGCTGACAAAGTTGCTGGCGCAGGCGCCCATGTGTCTAGACAGGGGGGGGGGGGGGGGGCAGTATGAGGTGAGAGGGTGCGCAAGCTGACTTGCGGTAAACGAAAGCACCGTGCCGGCGTTAACACGCTTCACAACTTAGAGAAGCGTTGCGTCGAATATGCGTCCGAGTCGCCGACATAGCGCAAAAAAGTGAAGGGTGGGGAGACAGCCGGCGGCTGGGTCGCCGTTGAGAAAAAAAGAATCGCAAGGCGTAAGAAAAAAAAAGGGGGGGGGGGGGAGGGGGGGTGAATACTGCCGCTGTACTCCCACACGACCACGGTTACGCAAAGAATAAAGAAATAGCATATATATGTGTGCTGTGGACAAACTGCAAACTGACTAGAGCAACACAGTCAATATAAGGACAGTGTTGTTAGGTGCATTGCTTACATGGGTGAAGAAAGGAAAAATTTCCTTCCTTTTCTTCCTCCATGGTTGCTTGTATGCACCGTGCTTGTAATCAGCCGAGCCATTTTAAAAATTCTACTTTACCGTAAAATTCAAGGCTCTCTCTCATGGAGGTCACCTCCAAAAAAATTGAGTGTTTGGGAAGTTCTGCTCCCCGATTTTTTTTTTTTTTGTCGCTGTTCGGTGCTGTTTGGGTTTCTAAGTATCAAAATAGCGTTAGCCGCTGACCAATCTAAATAGTACATTCCTATTAATTTATCCATGCATTGACGCGAACCATGGAATTTCATAATGGAACTCTATGGTTTCATACAATATTTGTATGAAACTCTATGACGCGGATAGTACGTGTGGTCAGGCTGGGTCAGGCCAAACCATGGGCCAAAGTGGACCAAACGCAACTTTAGAACTTGCAAATTTTTAAGGCTATGTTTTTTGTAATAATTACGTCATAGTCATTGTGTTAGTAACATCACAATTACGACATATTTAGACTGCTTTAAATTGTATTTTGTGCATTGTACAAAAACATGTTTTAAAAACACGCACGAAGAAATGTTTCGTTACTTTTTTACTCTAAATTTCCATTGCCTGCCGAATGAGCGCGAAACACCCGTCATCTATGGCAACGCTGCCTACGCAGGAATAAGGATCTTTGTACTTGACCTTTAAGATCGGCAATTTTAGCGTTTGGTACTAAACTCAGAGGCTATGCCTTGTATTGAAGGAGTTGCCGGTTGAATGACGGCGTCACTTACGTAGGGTAATTATAATTACGTTTACGCCTTTAAAAAACTTTTTACGTTATTTTTGTTGCATTTAGGCTCCAAAAACGTAAACATGTATTTGAAGACATTCCTACTTAGGTGGCGTCACCACCATAGTTCCGACGACGGCCGTTTTTCATGTGACCGCCGATAATCCCGCAGGCAAGGGAAATCCAGGAGGCTATGCAGTAACATTCTTTGTGTGTGTGTGTGTGCAGACAAGTTTGGCTGGTTTTTGGGTAGAAAGCATAGCCTTTGAGATTTTCAACTCTACCTTGTCATGTGCTGTGTGACTTTGAACGCCAAGGTAATAAAAATTGCAAATAAACTATCTATGTATATTAATTTTAACTGACACGCTTGTTTTTTATTTTTTTCTTCCGCAAGTTTTCTGTCAATGGAGAAATTATTACGAAACTAATGCTCCCACTGTAGCACCTGTATTTGTTTTTGTTTGTGGTGATGGACGTGGTGCTTGTCGAGATGTCGAGCGTGCGAGTGGTGGTAGCAGTTTCAGTACCACAATAGCACATTTCTGACAACCAGCAAAATTGACGTTGTCCGCCTTCGGGTGCAACGTCTACAATGATGAACCTCTGGCCGCGTAACCGCTATGGCAACGGCCTCCTATTCGCCGGCTTCAACCAGGACCAAGGTAGTGTAAAACATGGGAGTGTGACGAAAGGCTTTGTAACTAACTGCCCGTTTCTAGACTTGAAGTAGCACGTTTTCTTTTGGGCTACCATGCACTGGGAGCTGTCACTGTTTTACATTCTGCTGCGACTTAAAAGCGGCGCTTCGAATGACGTCTTAGCTGGATGTTTGCTATTCTAGTGCCGTCGTAAAGGTGACGCGTCTGGTCTACGAGATTTAGTGTCGCGATGAAGCCGCATTGTTGGCCACGTTGTTGCAAAAGGGGGTCACTGCTCTTGACACGAACTTTATCCGAAGCGATTGGCAAACGACGACGCCCCTCGCTTCTATTTCCGTCTTCAGCGAAGTGCGTACCACCAACTGTTTCGTGGTGCCGTTTCGTCCGCTTTCACAGGATGCTTCGCCTGCGGTATGGAGGATGGATTCAGGGTCTACAACTGTGATCCTCTGAAGGAAAAGGAGAAACAGGGTGAGTTTTATGACTGTCCCGTAGTGGGAGACACGTTTTAAGTACACGGACAGAATAGGATATACCTGTTTTCGACAGCCGCATGCTTTATGACCGGTCACGCAATTAAGAAAGTTGTTTGGGCACGCGTATTAGTGGTAGGTCGATCGGCGACTTGCCGCTCAGTCCCGATTACATGCGTCAAAACTATTAGCAGTGCTATGCTAGTCCGACCTTTAGCGTCGCGAAATGTCATTTTGACAGCTACACGTGTCACACGACAGATGATACTAGAAAACGGTCACGGAATGGGACATCTAGCTCACCAAACACCAGTGTAACGTACAACGTTAAACGAACGGAATATAGAAAATGCGCGCACACACACACACGCACACACACACACACACACACTTTCTCCAAACCAGCACGGATTTTAAGCGGCTTATCGACCATTACAAAATTGAGTGAAGTTGTACATAACCTTGCACATAGCCTCAATCGCAGCAGTCAAACAGATATGGTTCTATTATATTTTTAAAAGGCATTTGACAGTGTCTTCCGTAATAAATTAATTGCGAAACTGAAAGCCCACTTAGGTAACACATCATTCACCTGTTGGATAGAGGATTTATTGCTCAATCGAAAACAATTTGTATTCTTTGAACAAGCTACATCAAAAATATCATTTGTGAATCATCAGGTGTATCACAAGGATCAGTTCTTGGGCCTTTGTTATTTTTAACCTACATTAACAACATCGAAATGAACATGGGCTCCAACAAAATTTTTTGCTGACGATTGTGTTATATATTAAGAAATCAATAGCCATACCGAGTGCCTTGTGCTGAGTGCCTCCCTCAACACAGTTTCGAATTGGTCCAACCATGGCAGATGTCAATAAACAAAAAAAGATCCGCTGTGATCACAATAACCAAAAGAAAACAACCCTCACTATTCAACCATGCAGCCGATGGCACCATGCTACCTAAAGTAAACAAACATTTATATTTAGGTGTGACGCTTACTTCGGACCTTAACTGGACCCAGCACATCGATAACATTACTGCAGCAGCACTACGTAACTTGAAAAATTGGCAGAAGCTGCGTCGATGTGAATGTCGCCGAGCTCTGCACGTTGCTGTTACTGGAAGCGGCTATGATTTTTGTTCTCGGCATTTTTTCGAGACCACGATATGCTTCTGGTGTTCAAGGCATCGTCACAGCCTGCACTCTGCCTCAGGAATCCGAACATGGCTTCAATAGAAAAAAAAAAGCTCAAGGTCATGGCATGTACTGACGAATGGAAAGCTTCTTGCCTCTTTGTCATTTCCTCCTCCTGAGTAACTCTCACCACACTTACTGATACAAAAGTGAAAGAAAGCGCTTACACAAAATTACACAGGGAGCTCGGACACAAAATTTCAAACGCGAGATAATGACTGAGATCGGTTTATGCAGAGACAGGCACAATGTTAACTCTATATCAAGGGTAAATATAGCTAGAACATATTTAAATTCAATTTTGAAGTGCATGCTGTGCGACTGAGCGAGATTTGGAGCATTTCCGAACGCCAACATCAGCACAGCGGCAATGTAGACAAGCCTATGCCATGAGTTTGTGTTTACTGACTGCTTGCACTTGCGCTACTTGCGATTTCTCCCTCCGTTTCTGCGACATTGCATGTGTTGGCTGTCAGTGCAGTGCTTGCTCACGCATGCTCTCGTGCGTGGTCACAATCACGTGCCCAGTTGTGTGTGCGTTGCCTCCAGAACTACTCCTGCCTAGCTTATGCTCTTTGACATAAAAACATCTTTAAATAAGTAACTGTCGCGCACCCGTGCAAACGAGGTTTCTAGCTGTCATAAGCGACATATTGCTGCAAAAAAAAAAAATGAATTTTTTGTGTCAGTGCTTTTGTAAAGTGGGGGTAAATCCCTGTAACTCTGCACGTACTTGTCGGATTCTAAGTATTTTTTTGTGTCACTCAATCTGGAGGCAATAAGTTCCTTTAATGAGGCCATTAAATGATTACTTGTGTGGCATACTTTTCTTCTTCTTCTGGCACGACACACTTGGGACATAAGCTAGTAGTGGGTAGTCTGCTGAGGAGAAAAAAAATAAGTAGTTGGAACAATGGCGGAGATGCATTAATAAACCGCGCTGTGTTTTCGGAACCGCGTTTCAGAGTGCTATATTTTTTGGTGACCCGGACGTGATTATCTGTGGCATACTTTCTTCTTCTGGCACGACATTCTTGGTACATAAGCTAGTAGTGGGTAGTCTGCTGAGGAGAAAAAAAAGTAGTAGTTGGAACAATGGCGGAGATGCATTAATAAACCGTGCTGTGTTTTCGGAACCGCGTTTCAGAGTGCTATACTTGGAAATGTGTTGCAGGACCTTTTTCAAAATACTTTAATCTTACAAATATAGTGTTATGCTATCAGACTTTGCAGATGGCGGCATTGGCATAGTGGAAATGCTATTCCGCTGCAACTACCTCGCTCTTGTCGGAGGAGGACGCAAGCCGAGGTACCCACCAAACAAAGGTCGGCATTGGCGTTTCTTTGTGGCTCAACAACTGCCATGTCTTAGTTTTTGGCCTCGTAGTATACCAGCAGTTGACGTTCACTACCATTGAATGGCTGACGATTTCTTGTGATGCAATCAGTTTTTGGATTCCATTCAGATATATTTAGTACAAGTTATTTAAGCTCACCTAGACATTTTCTTGTTGCCGGAATCGCATCATCTAACGATCTTAGGCTCTCGTTTTCTTGTCTTCCGCTATGGCTAGAACCCCAAAAGGAAAGCTTTGAAAAGGGTACTGACACAACAGTTTTCTGTTGTCATTTTCTTGCATCAGATGAATAGGCAGGTCCTCAAGAACCTAAAAAATGTACTAATAAGAGTGAGTGCACCCTGAAGAATAATCGCGCATTTTTAAAGGTCAGCTTGTGTTCCTGCTGTACCCTGACTGCCATTACGAGCTTGCCACGTTCTCGTCCAAAATATTGCGACATTTCTATGACAGCTCCCTTCTCTGGATCTGTCGGTGCTGCGCAAGTTATCATTTTGCATATTTTGATACCCGACGTCATCACAACTAGTCATACTTCGGAAGAAGTCGCCAGAATTGATACTATAACCTGACATCATGCTGGTGCCAATATAAGTATGTGCCATGCAAAAGTAGACTTCAATGTCAAAATCTTATCTACATTCACACTTGCTCAGAGTCATATGTCTGTGGCAGAGTAAATCCAGCTTCGGAAATTTGTGTTGGCACATTTGCTTCAAGTTGATGTTCGCAATGAGTCTGTTATGCCTGAAATCTTGTTTTGTGTTGCAGTCCGTAGAATTATCAAAACACTACTCCAGCTATAGTGCTCAACGGAATCTAGTTTTTTTTATTTGCATTAGGACCATGATTTTCATATGAACACTGCCCATAGCACGCTTTCATGATGTATTTTTTTGTTTTTGTTTTTTTCAAGCATATATTTAACCTGCTGCATGAAGCAGTGTTGCATGCTGTTAGTAATGTTGCATATAAAGGTGGGACTCGGTTTAAAAAAAAATGTCTTAAAAGAAAAGTGCTAACCACTGTGCTACCAAAGTTGCTAGGTAATCTACTGAGTTTTTATTTGTGCATCTGTGTATTGATGTGGCTGAGTCAGTAGTCAGGAGCTCTTTGCTACCTTTTTTTTAACTTAATATTTTATAACTCCAAGTTGCCTCAGGTTAGGTTGTGTTGAGTGCAGGTCTTTCTCGCATGAAAGCACCTACATATGCATTCCTGGTACAATCTGATATATACCTTTTATACAGTGTACTGGGTAGAATTGGGTGTTTTCTGTAGTTTTCCCTGCTGAATTGGTAATCAGCTACATATTCTGATTCACTGGGAAAATTAGAATGATCAGCTCTTGCTTTTTTCTTTTTCTAAGTGTTAGGCTATGTCCAAAGTTCATGCGGTGGTAGAAATTTATCAATGCACGCGTTTGTTGACATGGTTTCAGTATTACATCATCCAGTGCATTGACTAAAGGGGCTGTAGAAGCATTGTCGCATCAACAGTTATGTTTTGGACTGCGCTCGATGATGCATCAGCTGAAATTGGAACCCGCGACCAAATCCCGGCTGCGGCGGCTGCATTTCTGATGGAGGCGGAAATGTTGTAGGCCCGTGTGCTCAGATTTGGGTGCACGTTAAAGAACCCCAGGTGGTCAAAATTTCCGGAGCCCTCCACTACGGCGTCTCTCATAATCATATGGTGGTTTTCGGACGTTAAACCCCACATATCAATCAAATTGGAAAGACTGCCAACACGGACGTATTGAAAGATTCATAGAGGTCATAATTGCAGCTACAGCTTTCTTTCTTTTTCGTACTTATTTCTAGGTCTTGGTCATAAATGAAAACTTTTCTTCCTATTTACTCATTTGGGCTATTTACAACCACTTTGCTATTTGTGCTTTTCTCGGAGAGAGGGAGAGCTGATGAGGCGTTGTCAAGCCGTAATAGTATGTCAAAATGAAAGCTTGCATACTTTCGACAGTTCTTTTCCTCTGTGTAGCTTATCATGAATTTTTCATCACCTTCCCTGTAATTACATAGAATATGACATATTATGGGCTGAAATGCATTTTAAAAATTTATTTAAAAGGCACCTTGTACATAGAGCTATTTTGAAAAACCACATTCATTTTGCCATAGCAACATGATCGTTCACTTTACTTCCAAGGTGCATGCAGAACCGTTTTCAAGCGTTACGAATCAACTTCCGTGATGTTGACAGTGTACTTCTACTTATTTGATAACATTTGCAATTTTAGCTGAAAACAAGAAATCTGCTTGTTTGAAAACAAAGTGTTGGTAGAAATTTTGCAAACATTCAATGATGAGAAGACGCTATGCTCAGTTTACAAGCTCTGAAGAAATGTCAGCTTCTCTCACAGCCATTGGTGTGAGAGAGAATAACCTTATACGTTTCATCCAGTCGTGCTTACTCATTTTCGTGATGTCAAACACTTTTAGAGCATTCCTTGTAGTTACCTTTTCATACAGGTGCACATTTTCGTCGCTGGTTTTAGGTGGGAAACTTGGGTGGGAGCTTCATGAAGGATGCCAAACGTGTTGTTGTTGACCCTTTAGCTCTTAATGTAGGTCGTGTTGACATTAGCTGAGAAAATGTACTGACAGTTTGAGTGGAAATTAGCTAGCACGACTGGTGAAGGCATGCATGCCATTGTTCTGTGGGGGTTCTGTGCACAAAGCTGTCATTTTTTCTAATGTTGCAGCTGGGCATAGAGGTGTATGTACATTTCAGAAGTTAATATTATTGGCACCATCAGAACATATGAAAACGTCATTGTGATTTATAAACAATGTGTTGTTCGTCAGTCTGCTCTTCCAAACTGTGTGCTTTATCGAGAGATAGTGATGAAGGGCATGCTGATGTGACAAGAATAAAGAAAAGTGTGTTTAGGATTTCGAAGCATGTGGTGTTCCTACTTCTCACACGGTGTTCACTAGATTCTCACAAATTTTAAAGCTCGTAACTTTTCAGACATGGTGCCAGGTAGCTAATAATCATTTGCGTATGGCCACTTTTTTGTGAAAAATGCGTTCCAAAACATGCATTTCAAGTTTATGGTTAACAAAGTAGTGACACACAAAATGGAGACTTTTTGTTGTCTAGGGTTTCTTAGTCCAACAATTGTTAGGCAGCCAATGTTGAAGAATGTGTGTATCAAAAAATGCTTAGGGGAATCGTAAAAAAGTGCAATATCAGTGAAACACTTCTATTTAAGTAAAGCAAAAACTAAACTATAAAATATAGCCATAACTACAGCAACATAAATGGTATTACTATCACTGCAATACAATTAACAGCAAAATAAAATTATTTATAATGACAGAATAAATCATTTCAGTTATATTGTCATGTAGTTGTGACATTGATGTCGACAGTTGTCAGTACGACTAAGATGAAACTGTATATTTGGCCGAACTTGTGGCCGGTGAAAGGAAAATCGGGTTACAGCAATACACATTGGCACGGATAGCGGTGAACTGAGCGCCGGCCGTCGATCAACTGACAAGCGATGACGCCCGTCTGCATTTGCGCATGTGCCGTCGAATATTCCAGCGCTATCGCTAGCGGCTACGTAAGTTCCAGACGAATCTGTAATGCTCCCGTTGTGTTCTTAATCGCATCATAAGGTTCTACAATTATCTCGATGGTTCTTTCCCCAATGGACATGGTTGCGCAAGGCTGCACTTACATGTGTAATGGGACAATGAGGAAACTTGAGAAAGGAGCGTGGCAATGGCAATATTTTAAGTATATAAGTTAGATGATGACCTTGAACTACAATGGACTTCCATTATGAAATTGCGGTAAATGACCAGGACACTGATGTTTTATCGCTTTAATTATGTGCTCAGTGAAAAGCAAAATTGGTGCTTGTGTCATTATATTGCAGTTATGGTGTGGGACGACCTAAAAAAGTTGAATGTCATTGAGCTGGAATTCACCAGTGATGTCAAGGCAGTGAGACTGAGACGAGACAGGTAACCCTTGAATTTGTTCTCTATTCTTTAGGAATGTGCAGATATTTGAAAAATTCAGTTCTAAATTAACCCCTTAATTGTCTTACTTTTCTGTAAAATTTTCTGTCTAAAACTTTTCATTCTTTTTTTTTAAATTTTGATATAAAATCTTTTGCTCCTAAAAAGTTCTAATTGACAAAAAAATTCAAGCATATGTTCACTTAAATGAACAAGGTGAAGTTTTTCTCATGGCCTGTTAGTGTCTTTCACAATTAGTGAAATAATTTATCTTCAAGAAACAGGTGAATATAACATTGATATCTGAATATTTAGTGCCGGAAGGGCTGTATGATGATGAAAGGCTTCTTTTCCATCTTCATACATGAGCAACGCATGTGTTGCCTTTACTAAACACTTTCTAAACACAAGTTGCAAAAAAGTGTGAAATGGCAGCTTAAAAAAAAAGAAATTTTCAAGCTAGTGCTGTCATCTGTGAAGTGATACACAAACTAGCCTGGAAACCAGTGAGTCTTGTTCAGAACGCTCATGGGGAGGTATTATCTCAAGCAGACGAGCCACACTCATTCAAAGCTGTTTGGGCACAGTTGGGCAAGCAGAAGCCGTGCTCATGGAAAACATTAAAAGGGGTTAAATGCATAACCATATGCAATTCAGTTTTCCGCTTGGTAATTAATTACATGCATTTCAAAACTTCTGCCTCATTTCGCTTGTCTATGAGCGACAAACCTTAGGGAGTCTGTGAGTAAATAAATCAACAAGCAAACAAGCCTCTTGAGCTGAAATTGGCTTGCATTGGGCTTGCTATCATTTTCTTTCAGTAAGATCCCGAATGTGGCTGTGCGTTTCGACATAGGCATAGCGCTAAATGGTTTAGACGCTGATTAAACAACCTCAGAGGGTCGCAATTTTCTGTGCCTTCTGCTATGGTGATATCGATATTGTGCTTTTGAGATGTAAAACCTTGACAATGATCATATTATTGTATCAATTTCTTTCAGAATTGTGGTTGCACTGGAGTCTGTGATCAAGGTGTACACCTTCACCCAGAATCCACAGCAGCTGCATGTCTTTGAGACCTGCCCCAATGACAAAGGTAAGCATGCTTGCAGCCAAACAGTTTTGTGTTGCTTGCCCAGCTGGACAGAGCAATCGTTTGTCTGGAGTGTGCCTCAACTTGGTCACAGTTCTAAACGATATAAATCATTGTGCAATTACTAAAAGGACTCAATCTGTCTTCTGTGTCTTCTTCCGTGTTGTCTAGGCTTGTGCGAATATTTGAATGCTTTGAATATTCGGATGTATTATGCATTATTTGAATTCACATTGAATAATTTAAATTTGCTAAATTTCAAATTATTTGAAACGAACAAATAGGTGCATATTAACTTGCATGTGACACTATGTAAAGGTGGTTTCACTGCAGTAAAGCGGTGCTAAGCCTGAAAGCACATATCCAGGTGTATACTAGTTTGCACGCAACTTTTTGTAAAAGTGGTTTCACTGCAGTGAAGTGATGCTAAACCGTGAAAACATGTATTAAGGGGAAATCTGCGCTGTCGCAAAGCCCCATTTCAATGTTGAATAGTGATATTACCCTCACATTGATTGATTTTTTTTTAAAGTTTGAAGCTTGTTATGCCCACTTATATTCTCCAAGTTTAGCAAATGTTAAAAAGTGATATATTTTACAGGCTATCACTTTCATTATACTAAAAGTAAAGTCCTTCAACTATTCAAAGTTGTTTCCGCTTTCTATGATGAAAAAAAAAAGGGCAAATACACAGGCCTTATTTCAATTTTTCAGAAATATTGTGCAGATTAGTTTGGTCTTGACAAATATGCCCTTTTTTCTTTATGATATGTGATATATATACTATTTGAGTTCGATTAGAAATTATTTGACCAAGATCACTATTTACTTCGAATTTGCTTCGAACCTCAAATTCATTATTCGGGCAAGCCTAGTGTTGTCTTTTCTCTAGTTGCACGCTGTTCCCAGTGATTTACTAGGCTTCATCAACTAGCCCCTCAGGACTTCCTGATTGGTTTTAATTGCTTTGACCTTTGGATTGTACACCACATCTGTGATTGCTGCCCATACATACTTGCCCTCAATTGCAGGTCTGTGCGTGCTGTGCCCAAACAGCAACAACAGCTTACTGGCGTTCCCCGGGCGACACACTGGCCACGTTCAAATCGTGGACCTTGGCCAAACCGAAAAGTCTCCGCTTGACATCGAAGCACACGAGGCATCTCTGAGCTGCATTGCGCTCAACCTAAGTGGAACGCTCTTGGCAACAGCCTCTGAAAAGGTGTGAATTGATATTTATATGAACTGGTTCTCATCACTGCTTATTAATGTGTGTGAGCTGCAAAAGTGGTGTGTTGCACTCGATCACCATGGGGACATTGTGTGGCGGGTTCACAAGTCCACCTGCTTGCAAGAGAAGAGCCGCGACAGTGATGCGATCTCCATTGACGGCATTGGCTGCACACATTCAACATGGCCTGTGTCGTACCGGGACGTTTCGCCAGCTGTATATACATGCTTGTAGATGCTCGACAAAGGCACGATTATTGAAATTTTGAAACACCCGAACTAATTAGTACAGTACAGCACAAACTGCAGATGGCCTGTGAGAACACTCGCACGTAGTTTCACTTTCTTGCCAGCGATGCGGTCGGCGATATCGGCGTGCTCATTGGCCATCTGGGAGGTTTCTTGGCCCTGTTGTTTGGGCTGCAACTCAAATTCATAATTGCATTCGAAAACATTTGTTGTGGGCGTTAGTTGACTAATCATAATTGCAACAAAGCAATGTAAAACACCTGAATGTACAAACCGTTCATTTTAGTTGGCGATTTTAACGTAGACATTATCACATTATGTCACTTTGTGCCATTCAGTTTACAATATCTGCTCAGCCACGAAATACCCAGAGCTCCAACAACTCGTCATGAATACATTCATGGAAATGCACTTCAAGCACAGGGAGTTGTTCATTACCCTTTTAAGGGCTTTGAAACACAGTCTGACTCCTTATTGGCCAAGTGACTGAGTTTATGTGAATATTAGTTTCAATAGTAGTCACGTCACCAGTCATGATGATTTCATTCCAAAATTTATCAAGCTCTTTAGTGCTTCTGGACGTTGAGGCCTTGTGCACTTGTCTCTGATATGCATATACGTAGTGATACACATAGGACATAATTGCAATGCATAATTTAGAGCGTAACAGTAAATGATCTTCTTTCATCAAAGGAAGGCTTGGTATTACGAATACTGGCCAGGACTAGAATGGATTGTGCAGTTCAGGTTGCCTGCAGATTTGGCTGGCTACCACAAGCTATTTATTTGAAATTGCTGAAACATCTGAGATTAGCATCAGTTTTTCCAGCCTACAACGACATACCTCTTGTACTTGACGTTACTTGACAGCATCAGGCGTCATTGACCTAAAGGAGCCCCGCAATCTTTTTTAAAGTAGGCACGAAATAGATTCGTTGAAAGAGATTATTGCCTGACGAAATCACCTCCACGAGAATTCTCAGAATTCGTCCAGTACGAGCGGAGTTACAAAGATTGGTCACATGCTGCCTTTACATTCCTTCTTTTCTTGACCTGACCAAAGTACTGGAAGCTACCGTAATTACTCGAATCTAACGCGCACCTTTTTTCCGGTTAAGCGAGTTCATAAGTCGCATGCGCGTTAGAATCGAGTACGAACAAAAAAATTACGGTCAATCTATTGCCATCGGCAAATCCAAAATGGCCGCCCCCTACGTGCGTCGGCATGGCGCGTCGGCCATTTCTGCCTATGTGTTTCCCATGTGCGGCACTTCGTACGTGTGCTGAGGAGTTTGTCATCTAGTAGTGCATTAGCATCGACGGCGTGGAAGGGCTGACTCCAAAAACTCGAGTGCACCACGATGCCGCTTTTAAAAGAAAAGTCATCGCGTGTGCAGAAACTGACGGAAATCGGGCCGCATCGCGGTCGTTCGGAGTTCCCGAAACGTGCATGCGGGACCGGCGGAAACAAAAGCCGAAGATTGTCGACAGCAAAGCTTCACGCAAAGGCTTCAGTGGACCACAGCAAGGTCGGTTTCCGCAAATGAAGAGCTGCTCGGCGAGTATGTGCCTGAGCAGCGAGCGGCACAGCGGCCCGTGACGACAGAACTGCTCCAAGTGCGGGCTATGCAATTAGTCTTAGAAAAAGGTCCAATGCGGAGCCAGTTTAAAGCGAGCAGGTGCTGGCTAACTAACTTTATGAAGAGGAAAGGCTTTTCCCTCCGAAGGGGAACATGCATATGCGAAAAGTTTTGCAGTGGAGTACGATGAAAAGCTTCACAGTTTTCAGAGGTTCGTCCTAAACTTGCGGCGCAACAACAGCTACCTGCTTGGGCAAATCGGGAATGCTGGTCAGACGCCTCTTTACTTCGACATGCCTGGCACCCCAACCGTCGAGAAGAACGGGGCGAAGCAAGTTCGCGTGCTGACATCGGTCCACGGTAAAACTACAGTGACGGCAATGCTCTGTTACACGTCAGATGGGCACAAGCTTCGCCCGTACCTCATATTTAAATGGAAGACGCTCCCGAAAGGAGTCGTTTTTCGAGTGGTGTGATCGTGCAGGCCAGCGAGAAAAATGGGTGCGCGTTGCAATCGATGTCTTACGTTTTTTTGTTTTTTTTTCGCGGTGGAAATCGGGTGCGCGTTACAATCGAGGGCGCGGTAGAATCGAGTAAATACGGTAAGCCGGGAGGGGTGGCACAGGGTAAGGAGGAAAGGTTAAGCAGAAAGACAGGGAGGTTAGTCAGATTTGTACAGCCCAGCAGTGGAGGTCTGCTGGGAAATTTGTGAAGGGCATTTTCGTGCACACCCTCCAAATGTGCATAGTCAACGGGCAGGGTTTTTAACCCCACTTCTTGTGGTGGCACAGGGGAAAATACATCACGCATAGCATGTTACGTTGACCACTTTCTTTTTTCCCCTCGAGTTGCATAGCTCTTCGGAAGACCGCGACATGGACAAGTCGCGGCCTTCTGCAACGGCCCTACAGTCGAACCTCGCTATAATGAAACTGAAGGGACGCACAAAAAATTTCATTGATACAGAAATTTTGTTGTGGTGAAATCTCCCCCAGAACACTGTCGCATTTGACTAGAAGCGTCACAAACATAATTTATTTGGGAAAGAAGTCTGTCAGCTTCGTCTGCCGTCTTCCTTACGACATCAGCGCCGTGGAGCGATGTTCGCTGTTGGTGATCTGCTGCATCGCGACGTCGTTATCATGGACGCCAAAGAAATTGCGAATCACATCAAATGCGTTCATTACATTCAAGGGAGGAGGCGGCGCCGAAGCATCTTGAGCGTCACACTAATCGTCTGATGACGCGTCGTCATGGCAAAATTCATCAATAGTTGCCTCGTCAGTTAGCCCCTTATGAGCAATAACGTCCGCATCAACGGCGAAGAACTGATCCATGCTCGCATCCTCTGGTATATTTTCGGTGTCCCGAAGGGCTGCCCAGGCCGCAGTTGCTTTTCTGAAGGGTGGATCCACTCTGCCACAACCGTCGTCTTCGTCGAGTTGAACTGACGAGTTGGCCGTTACTTTAGTGTCAGGCTTAAAGCTGGTGTGAGTGAAACAGTTTTATATTATGCTTCGCCGGGTCGCTGTCCACAACGCGGCAGCCATTTGTAAGGCCATGAATAAATCCACTTTCATCTGGTCATCATCATCATCAGCCTGACTACGTCCACTGCAGGACAAAGGCCTCTCCCATGTTCCGCCAGTTAACCCGGTCCTGTGCTTGCTGCTTCCAATTTATACCCGCAAACTTCTTAATCTCATCTGCCCACCTAACCTTCTGCCTCCCCCTAACCCGCTTCCCTTCTCTGGGAATCCAGTCAGTTACCCTTAATGACCAGCGGTTATCCTGTCTACGCGCTACATGCCCTGCCCATGTCCATTTCTTCTTCTTGATTTCAGCTATGATATCCTTAACCCCCGTTTGTTCCCTAATCCACTCTGCTCTCTTCTTGTCTCTTAAGGTTACACCTACCATTTTTCTTTCCATTGCTCGCTGCGTCGTCCTCAATTTAAGCTGAACCCTCTTTGTAAGTCTCCAGGTTTCTGCTCCGTAGCTAAGTACAGGCAAGATACAGCTGTTATATACCTTCCTCTTGAGGGATAGTGGCAATCTACCTGTCATAATTTGAGAGTGCTTGCCGAATGTGCTCCACCCCATTCTTATTCTTCTAGTTACTTCAATCTCGTGGTTCGGCTCTGCGGTTATTACCTGCCCTAAGTAGACATAGTCTTTTACAACTTCAAGTGCACTATTACCTATCTCGAAGCGCTGCTCTTTGCCGAGGTTGTTGTACATTACTTTCGTTTTCTGCAGATTAATTTTAAGACCCACTTTTCTGCTCTCCTTGTCTAACTCCATAATCATGAGTTGCAATTCGTCCCCCGAGTTACTCAGCAATGCAATGTCATCGGCGAAGCGCAGGTTACTAAGGTATTCTCCATTGACTCTTATCCCTAACTGTTTCATCTGGTGCCCTGTGTCAATATTCAGCAACAGTCGCTGAATCAGCCGCTGCCAATGAGCCCTTTTAACGCTGCCAATTATGCCCTGATCTAATGGCTGAATCAAAGTCGTGCAGTTGGGTGGGGAAAATCGCACGTCCACATTGCCCAGCTCAACGTTGTCAACGTTATGAGCTGAGCAGTTATCAATTAGCAAGCACACCTTGCGGTATTGGGCCTTCATGTCGCGGTCAAACCCCTTTATCCAATCACAGAAGATGGCCTGTGTCATCCACGATTTTCTGTTTGCCACATACCGTAATTACTCGAATCTAACGCGCACCTTTTTTCCGGTTAATCGAGTTCATAAATCGCATGCGCGTTAGAATCGAGTACGAACAAAAAAATTACGGTCAATCTATTGCCATCGGCAAGTCCAAAATGGCCGCCCCCTACGTGCGTCGGCATGGCGCGTCAGCCATTTTTGCCTATGTGTTTCCCATGTGCGGCACTTCGTACGTGTGCTGAGGAGTTCGTCATCCAGTAGTGCATTAGCATGGACGGCGTGGAAGGGCCGACTCCAAAAACTCGAGTGCACCACGATGCCGCTTTTAAAAGAAAAGTCATCGCGTGTGCAGAGACGGACGGAAATCGGGCCGCATCGCGGTCGTTCGGAGTTCCCGAAACGTGCATGCGGGACCGGCGGAAACAAAAGCAGAAGATTGTCGACAGCAAAGCTTCACGCAAAGGCTTCAGTGGACCACAGCAGGGTCGGT